CCCCTCCCCCGCTCAAGCTCTGTCTCTCTCAAAAATAGATAAACATTAAAAATAATAATAATAATAAAAAAGAAGTGATACGAGATGAGGTCAGATTGGAGTAGGGCGCTTCCAGGCCCCCCTGGAAAGCCCCAGTTGAAGGCTATTAACCGAAGAGGATTAGCACATAAAACGGGGGGGGGGGGGGGGGGGGGGGGGGCTGGCAGTAACAGAGTTATCCACGCCGCCAGGCCAGGCAAGGGCAGTTATCCAACCCGCAAAAGCCATATCTGCAGTCCCTTGGCCTCCATAAGGCAAGGCACTGCCATGCGGGGACAGGATATGCGCGCGCGCCACCCTCAGGCTGCCTGAAAGCCTGCGCAGCCGCGGCATCAAGACTCCTGTGATTGGCCAGGCTGAGAGGAGCGCCAGCCAATCAACTGCCGGTACAGGGGGCTTGTGCACGCCCCCTCCCCAGCACGTTGACAGCCACGTGGGCACTGCTGGGAGAGCGCCGGAGCCCAGCTCTGCGCAGGCGCAGTTTGCTCTGCTCAGCTCGGACGTGGGCGAGGGTGTGCGTGAGTGGCGGTCGTGTTGGCGACCTGGCCGCCGTCTTTGGGGCTCCCAGTGTCCCTTCTCCTCTTGAAGCACTTATGGCTCTTATTTTCTTGTTGATCCTTACAGAAGGAGTGGATTCAAGCACAGGCGTTTTACATAGTTGTGTCTTTTGTGTTTTTGTGTTTGTTTTTACTAACGCAGCAGAACAGTATGTGTGGAGCCCCGATACAGGCCCTTTTACGCGCGGTCCACACGACAACCCTGGGAAAGATAGAAGCTTCACAGTGTCGGATCCTGGCAGACAGCACCTTAACCAAGGGATGGAAGTTAAAGTCACCAGCAGTGAGTCACGGTGACATCATAAGCCCCCGATATGCGAAGGGAACATCACCTCTCTGGTATCCTTCCCAGTAATGTGAAAACCTCAATCCAATCAAGATAAACCAAGTGGAGAGAGTCTACACAGTTGCCGACCGGTTCTCTTGAGGAGTGCCAAGGGCATGAACGACAAGGGGCTGTCACTGACTGGAGGAGTCTAAGGAGACATGACAATTAAATGCCATGAGAGATCTTGGATTGGGTCCTGGAACAGAAAAAGGAGGAGTAGAAAACCTGGAGAAATCCAAATCAAGGCTGTAGTTTATTAATAGTATTGTACCAAGGTTAAGTTCTTAGTTTTAATAAGTGTACTTGGTTACATAAGATGTTAACAGTAGGGGCAGCAAGGTGAAGGGTAAATGGGAACACTCTATGCTATTTTTGAACTTTTCTGTAAGTCTAAAATTATCTAAAAGTTAAAAGTTAAGAAAGAAATCTAGGAAGCAGGTACTATCAATATGCCCATTTCCCAGAGGAGGAAACGGAATCACAGAGAAGTTAAGATATCTCGCCAAGGTCACACAGTCAGGAAGCAACAGGGCATGTTCCAAACCCATGGAATATGGATCCAGAACCCCCTTCTCTCTATTCTTCTTCTTCTTCTTTTTTTAAGTGGGCTCCACACCCAGCGTGGTTCCCAGACATGAGGCTTGAACTCACAATCCTGAGATCAAGACCTGAGCTGAGACTGAGACCTGAACTGAGATCAAGAGTGGAACGCTTAAAGACTGAGCCACCCAGATGCCCCCAGGGTAACTTGTTGTCAAGAAGATACTGCAATAAATGTTCTTTTCACACCTCCACTTATACTTCTTAGGTATATTCTAAAAATGATTTTCTGGATCAGAAGATGTGTTAAATAGGATTCTCCAGAGAAACAGAACCAGTTAGAATAGAGAGAAACAAAGAGAACGAGAGAGAGAGAGAGAGAGACGAGGGGGTGTTATTACAAGGAAATGACTCACATGATTATGGAGGCTAATAAGTCCAATATCGCAGTTGGCAAGCTGGAGACCCAGGAGAGCAGACGATGTAGTTCTAGTCCAAGTCTGAAGCTCTGAGAACCCAGAGGGCCAATGAATGTAAGTTCCGGTGTGAGAGCTGGCAAATTTGAGATCCAAGAAGTTCCAGTCTGGAGGGAGAAAAAAGACGGATGTCAGACATTAGGCGTTTTCTTCTTACTGGACAGAAGGTCAGTCTTTTTGTTCTGTTCAGGCTTCCGCCTGGTTGAATGAGGCCCCTCCATATTGGGGAGGGCAGTCTGTTTTCCCGTTTATAATTCAAATATGAATCCCACCCAAACACACCCTCACAGACACACCCAGAAGGACATTTGACCAACCATCTGGGTACCCCATGGCTCAGTCGACTTGATATATAAAATTATAACCACCAGAAAAGGAAAGGACACTTGTCATTTTGAAACCTCTCAACAAACTGCCCACATCCACCCACAACGTTCTTGCGGCCTCCCCGGCACTTGGTGTTGTCGGGTGTCCTGAATTTTGCCCATCTGGTAGTCACCAGTCCCCTTTTTAAAAAAGTCTCCATTGTTCAACCAGATGTTTTTCCTACAAAACATCTTGCAGAGCTCATGCCTGGACCAGGGAGTGGGCAACCGGAGAATGGCCTACATAACTCCCACCATGGCCCGAGGCCCAACCCCCTAACCACCCCCAAGCTGGTCTTCTGGGGAAAGTTAGGATGGAAACACAAAGGAGATCCCCAGCTCAACTATCCTTAGTCCAGGAATTTCCTGGAAATTATGCCCTTCCTTTGTGCATGCTTGAACACCAACATTGCGGACAAATGTCTGAATCCTGGCTCATCAACTTTAATTCCTTTTACCCAGCGAGCCTTTTTTGAGTGCCTGCTGTATGCAGGCAATGTACGGGCACTGGAGACAGAGCGGTGAACAAAGCAAGCAAAGCCCTGCCCGTGGAGTTTTTATGCTCACAGGATGAGATACAAGTTGAGAAAACAGGAGATGGTAAGAAAAAGAAAGCGAGGAAAGGAGATAGCGTGGTAGGCCTTTAATTTTTTCATTAAAATATAATTGACATACAGTGTTATATTAGCATCAGATATAAGTGGGGGCTTTTAAAATGACTTTGCAAAAAGTTTATTTATTTTGAGAGAGAGAGTGCAAGCAGGGGAGGGGCAGAGAGAGAGAGAGGGAGAGGGAGAATCCCAAGCAGTCTCCCACTGTCAGTGCAGAGCCCAATGCGGGGCTTGATCCCACTAACCGTGAGATCATAATCTGAGCTGAAATCAAGAGTCAGACGCTTAACTGACTGAGCCACCGAGGCACCCCTAAAAATGACTTTTTAAAGTGAAAGTTTTTATGGAGGCAGACACAGCAACTGTCAGGTGCAAACACATGTGAACAATTCC